TAAGAGAATAAGAGATTAAGAATAAGAACAAGAATAATGAGAACAAGAATAATAAGAATGACTCGAGTAAACCGATAAGAAGCCAAAAGCAGGCTGGGAACGAATTGCTACTCATTTCTGAAGAGACTGCGTAGTGTCGACCGAATATAAAACTGCATAAATATCTGTTGCTTTCGTCTGTGAACCACAATTCTCAACGGAAAACTTCCAGCTTCGTTATGCTTCGATTAAAATCACTCGCGTGCATTAGACGAAACTTTCCACTTAGCAAGTGCATTTATTTTTAATATGATTTATAATTTTGCGACCAAATTTGGACATCAGACACAACGAATTTGCTAAACAGCTGCTATTCAAAAAAGAACACATTCACACAAACACACACACACACACACACACATATATATATATATATATATGTGTGTGTGTGTGTGTGTGTACATCTATCTATCTATCTATCTATCTATCTATCTATCTATCTATCTATCTATCGCTCTCTCTCTCTTTCTATTTATATATATATATATATATATATATATATATATATATATATAAAATATAAAAGGCTCAAACACTAATATTCCATGGTTATAAGAAATCAGAAAAAAATATAACTCTGGGTATAAAAAATAAAATAAAATTTTGATTTTTATACCCGAAGTTATATTTTCCGATTCCTTTTTGAATTTGTAGGTCTGATGAATTGAATCGTGATTACGATTCCAATGTAATAAATTATAACCATGGCAATTATAACAATATTAGTGTTTGTGTCTTTTATATTATATTTTTGCTCTGTTCTGGACATTGAGTTCTACCTGGATTCTATCCTTTGGAAATTTTATATATATATATATATATATATATATATATATATATATATATATATATATATATATATATAAGACGATGTACATAAGAACAAGTTTTATCCAAACAGATAACTGATCTTATAAAACTTTCAGTTATCTGTTTGGATAAATCTTGTTTTTATGTACATCGTCTTTGTCATGTTGTATTGATAATGTTATAATTTATGAATATGTCCTGAAGATGGTTTATTAGACCGAAACGTCCGACGTTGACATATATTAACATTAAAACAACATAATTGTATATGAGGATTTTTGTTTCTTTTTTTCCGTATATATTTTTCTTCATATATATATATAATTCTAAACAATAACACCCTTGAATTTGACAACAAAAACTGTATCCAAACCTTAGGTACTGCAATGGGAATAAAAATGGCGCCAACATATGCCACCCTAACATTAGCTTACCTAGAAGAAAACCTCTATGAAAGGATAGAACAAATATATGGTGAAAATATAAAAACCCAATTCACTAAATCTTGGAAAAGATACTTAGATGATTGCTTCATTTTATGGAAATCCTCATGTGGTGATATTAACCAATTCCACACTCTACTTCAAAACTTACACCCAAAAATAAAATTCACGCCAGAATATAATTTTAAAGAATTACCATTTTTAGATATACTCATTAGAAATAAAAACAACCACATAATCACAGATATCTGCCACAAACCAACAGAAACCCAACAATATCTTCATTTCAAGAACCATCAACCAAAAAGCTGCCTAAAATCCATCCCCTATTCTCTAGCACGTAGGGTTCGTACTATAGTGACTGATAAACACCTCCGAAAAACCCACCTAGAAGAACTACATAAAACTCTAAAAATACGAGGCTACCCCACAACCCTAATAAACAAAGGTTTTGAACTCACAAAAAGAATTCTTCTAGACCAACTTAGAAATAAAAGGAAACGTAACGTCAAACAAGCTCTAGCATATGTCTCAACATACAACAAAAACAATCCAGAATTATTCACAGAAATTACAGAAAATCTAGACCTACTTAGCAAGAATAATAAACTGAAAAATAAACTAAAAACAACCAAAATAATTAAAAGCAAATGGCAATCTAAAAACCTAAAACACATATTAACCTCATCGAAATTTAACCAACACACAATACAAGGAGTCACAAAATGCAACAAAAAAGATGTGGGGTTTGTGACATCATTATAGAAGGAAACTCCTACACTTATGAAAACCCACAAAACGACATTCATAATAAATAAAAATTTAAACCGCAACTCCAAAAATGTGATTTATGCACTCAAACGCACAAAATGCAAGAAGTCATATTTAGGTATCAGTTAACAACTGAACAACAGGATCTCCCTACACAAAAGCAACATAAAATTACCAGACAACAGAAAACTTTTTGTCTCACAACACATCTTCAAATGTAACCAGGAAAAATGTTAAATTATGCCAATATATCAAACAGACAATTAGGCTTACCTACAAATACAAGAAAAAACTTTATAAACAAATTTAAACCAAAACTAAATAGATCATAACCCCACACACAAAAACACAACGTGCACACGTAATGGCCAAATACAGTGATCAACCCACTCACATACATGTACGGACGCTCACATGCGGGTGTCTGTGGGGCACGAATATATATATACACACATATTGACAAAAGCAGAACTACTCACAGGCATACACACAAAACCCACACAACTTAGAAAGTATGTGTGTATGTGTGTACGTATGTATGTGTATCTGTTTATATACTGATTCCATGTAACTTGGTAAGTATGTGTATGTACGTATGTGTGTATATGTGTGAGTGTATGTACTGATTCCTCGTAATGGGACGCTATGTGTGTGTGTGTGTATATATGTGTGTGTGTGTGTGTGTGTGTGTGTGTGTGTGTGTGTGTGTGTGTGTGTAAAGATGGATTCGCTGATTCCTCGTAGTGAGACAGTGTGTATGTATGGAGAGGGGATATACACATATATACACGCATGCTGACAAAAACACACGAAACTGGAAATAGATCTAAGAACACACGGGGGTCATTAAAAGATAAGAATGCCGATAATTCCTTCAACATTTCTCGGACCAATCTTAATTGTTTTATAACCCTTCACGCAGAACTCTTCACTGCCAGTTCAAAAAAGACATTTGGGTCACTAACACAGAAAAAAGAGAATGTCTCATATCGAGAATATTTAACATCGAAAAACATAAAGGAAAAAAATTAATTATTTGTAATTATACATGGAAATCTCCACCCTTTGCCTGATGACGGTCGCGAGACCAGAAACCCGTGTAGCAAAAGTATGGAAAATAAAACATAATATTTAAAAAAAAAACGAACTCCCCATTAGAAACAAAAACGTTTGCGGTTTCTCTCTTCTTTTTTATAAACACACTTTTCTCTCGTTGGAACTACTATAAGCTCTTCCTTCCTTTTATATATATATATATATATATATATATATATATATATACAGCCATTTAAAATTTTGTCAGTCAGTTATGTGCTGTGCGTGATACACTTTTAGGAGACCATGTATCGAAAGATACATGACTGACGAGGCAGATTTTTTTTCCACGGAGTAGGTTGCAATTCCTTTTTTTGCGGTAGACCAGTTGCCATGCAAGGCTAATAGAACAAGGTCTGTCTTACTATTACCCATAGAAGGGTAATAACACGTAAATGAAGGATTTAACTGGAGTTAAAGCTTTTTATCTAATTTTTCTTGTGTTCGATAGCTCGATCCGAGCCGCTATCCATTACTCCATCGTGCCTCCTCATACAAATTTTAAATGCTTATATATATAGAGATCGTTAAATAGATAGATAGACAGAGAGACGTATATATATATATATATATATATATATATATATATATATATATATAGATAGAGAGAGAGAGAGAGTCTATTCTTCTCAATTTTTAGACATTTTCTCTATTGCCTTCTATTTCATCATTTCGTTCCACAACCTTTCCGCTTCTCTCCCTCAATCTCACATACGCTTTTTTCCTATCTTTCTTTCCACCTCTCTCTCTCTCAATCTTACATACGCTTTTTTCCTATCTTTCTTTCCACCTCTCTCTCTCTCTCAATCTTACATACGCTTTTTTCCTATCTTTCTTTCCACCTCTCTCTCTCTCTCTCTCTCTCTCTCTCAATCTTACACACGCTTTTTTCCTATCTTTCTTTCTCTCTCTCTCTCTCTCTCTATCAATCTTACATACGCGTCTTTCTTTCCACCTTTTTTTCCCCACTTCCACGTATACACTTTTACATAATTTTTTAAACCTGGAGAAATATTTTCTGATTCCTTCTGGATGTGAAGGTCTGATGATTTGGGTCCTTTTTTTAAGAGCTTAACGAAATAATATAACCTCATGAAAGTGTTCGTGACTTTTATAATATATATATATATATATATATATATATATATATATAAAAAGGCTTAAACACTAATATCCCATGGTCATAATTTATTCCATTATATATATCTATATATGTGTGTGTCTTTTTCATTAAAGACGACAGACAAGGTACCGCGATTAAGCTTGTTATCTAATTTTTCTTGTGTTCATACAATTGTTTTCTTTCCTGAACACAGAATGTGTAGAAACTGTCCAAATGTTCTTTAATTCCGAGCGCATTCGGCTATACATTTAGCCATTATCAAGGATGATTTTATTTTTGCATTTTAATTGGGTGTATGTGTTGTGTTTATGCATTTAGAGTTGTAGGGATGTTTTAATTTCCGAACACAGTTAACACATTATGGCCGTCTTCGTAGTTAATATTATTAAGTGTTGGCTTTTTCTTTTTTTATTATTAAGGTTCCATTATTTTTAATCTTTTTTATATGAGAATACTGTTATTATGCTTGTATTTTGTACTAGTATGTTTCGGATGGAGTCTGGTAAGTTTATGTCTATAGGTTCTAATGGAACTGTAGCGTAAGGCGTCTGGATTTTTTTTCCAGTTGTAAATTCTTCGAAATTAAATTTTTCTTCCAAATTATTAATTGTTTTTTGTTTAATTTGAAGTTATTATTTTATGTCATATTATTCATTAAACTAATATTTTTAATTTGTATTATTAATTAAATTATAATATTTTAGTTGACTTATTATTATTAAAATAACAAAGTAAATATTTGTTAATATGTCAGCAACTACCTATTATCTCATTCTTCTAATTTAATCATTTAATTTGATAATTAAAAGTTAATATTGATAATTTTTTTTCGAAACACAGTCGACAATTTCTATTGATTGGGTTATATGAACTTAACAACAGAGATGTTCAAAGATGGCATCCTGTTTTATTTACATAGGAGTTTGCTATGTGATGATAACGTTCGCATAATAGCATACACAGGTCGTAAATTCGTAAATCTCTGTTGTAATGTTCATATAACCAACCTGATGATGGCTCATGAGAGTCGAAAGCTTAGATCGACAGTCAATATAATAAATATTCAAATGTTGAACAGTTTATGTCTTTATTTTCTCTTAAAACTAAAACCATTATACGACGATTGGAAAGGCTCATGATCAAACGTAATAGATATTCACTGTTGTTATATTTAACTATATAGGTTTCAAAAATGATCTGCTGCCCGCATACATTAAATTCAAATAATATATATATATATATACAGACACACACACACACACACACACACATATATATATATATATATATATATATATATATATATATATATATATTTGTTATCTTTTAATACATTTTCTTGTCCACCCATCTATGTTTTACTCTTTATGTTAGTGTGTGTATGTATTTTCTATCTATCTATCTATCTATCTATCTATCTATCTATCTATCTATCTATCTATCTATCTATCTATCTATCTTATTCTGTTAATTATCTATCTATTTGTCTATATATCTATCTATCCCATTCTGTTCATTATATATATATATATAATATTATATATATATATATATATATATGTGTGTGTGTGTGTGTGTGTGTGTGTGTGTGTGTGTGTGTGTGTTTGTCTGTGTGTTTCTGTGTCTGCGTCTTTTCATACGTCTCTACCTACCTGTGCAAACATACTGATATCTATCTATCTATCTATCTATCTATCTATCTATCTATCTATCTATCTATCTCATTCTGTGCATTCTCTGCCTGTGTCTTCATATCTGTCTCTACCACAGAGAGGTGTACAAGAAAAAATGTACTGAGAGATAAGAACATATATATATATATATATATATATATATATATATATATATATATATATATATATATATATATATACTTGAATTTAGTGTATACGTGCAGCAGAAGATTATTCAATCATATATTGTTAAATATAACAAAGAATGTCTATTATGTTTTATCATGAGCCTTTCCAAACGTCATAATCTATCTATCTATCTATCTATCTATCTATCTATCTATCTATCTATCTATCTATCTATGTCTATATTCATTATCTATCTATCTATCTATCTATTCATTATCTATCTATCTATCTGTCTCAGTCTGTTCATTATCTATCTATCTATCTATCTATCTATCTATCTATCTATCTATCTATCTCAGCCTGTTCCTATCTATTATCTATCTATCTATCTATCTATCTATCTATCTATCTATCTATCTCATTCTGTTCATGATCTATCTGCGTCTTTTTATATCTGTCTCTACTTACCTTGGTAAGTCAGTTCCTATTTATCTACGCGCGCAGACACACAGACATATATATATATATATATATATATATATTATCTGTTCATATTATGTCCTTTTTCTCGTAGTCTGTCTTACTTTCTCCCCCATTTACGCTCGCTATTCTTCTGACCCTCACGCAACAGATACACTTACACAGCGATACAGAATTACCGTACAAGAGAAAGTCTGAAGCCAAAACGGCGGGTAAAAATGTCCCTCCTGCTGAGTTCGGAAAGACGAGTGATCAACGGGGGCTGGTGTCACTGACACTGCTGCTATTCTTTAAAAAAAAAAAACCGGGCCTCAAACAATAGTCTCATGTGACAAGGAAAGGTGAGGCTGACCGACCTTCTTCTGCCGACGCTGCCTTAATCGGTGGGGTGGAGTCAAGGTGCGACCCTTAATTACAACCCTGCCTAAACATCGTCATTCACCGTATTCTTGTGACGTGATCGCTTAATTTAGGAAAGAAAAAGAAGAAAAAAAAATCATGTTACCGGTCTTTACCGGCCCACCGGCTGACTCTTACTTTTCACAGCACGCTAGCTGGTGAAGGCGGGTCACTAGAAAGTTTCTTTCTCTTACCGTCTCTATTGTTGCTAATATACCTTTCTTTTCTTAAGGAGGCACGTATTTATTTTAAACCACTTTTTCTTAAAAAAAACAAACAAACAGTTCTCTTCTTTTTCTTGTTTACTTGAAATTTCCGACTGCATACAAAGGTGCGCTATGTTAGCACTTTCTATATACTGATAGGGTCCAACCTCCGAGATTCGCTTCTTTAAGCAAGACAACGACCCCATGGGTTGGTGTTCGATGCACTCATTTTTTTTCTAAGTGCCATGTCTCTTCAAGATGTGCTTCATCATAGCTCTCCACATCCTCCTATCCTGTGAATTGCTTAGTATGTCTTTTATTATTTTTTCTGATTAAAGACTCACATATGAAAACCTTCTAATAATAGTAAGGACTTAACAAAATATGCCATCATTTTGGACGGCCTGGATAAACTAGTATATTTATATATTTAAAGACTCACATGTGAAAACCTTCTAATAATAGTAAGGACTGAAGAAAATATGCCATCATTTTGGACGGCCTGGGTAAACTAGTATATTTATATATTTAAAGACTCACATATGAAAACCTTCTAATAATAGTAAGGACTTGACAAAATATGCCATCATTTTGGACGGCCTGGGTAAACTAGTATATTTATATATTTAAAGACTCACATGGGAAAACCTTCTAATAATAGTAAGGACTTAACAAAATATGCCATCATTTTGGACGGCCTGGGTAAACTAGTATATTTATATATTTAAAGACTCAAATGTGAAAACCTTCTAATAATAGTAAAGACTTAACAAAATATGCCATCATTTTGGACGGCCTGGGTAAACTAGTATATTTATATATTTAAAGATTCACATGGGAAAACCTTCTAATAATAGTAAGGACTTAACAAAATATGCAATTCTTTTAGACGGCATAAGCTAGTATATTTATATATTTAAAAACTCACATGTGAAATCCACATAATAGTAAGAACTAAAAAAAATATACCATCATACCCTAGAATACTAACTATGGGTATATAGTACCCAGCGCAAATTTTCCTATTTTTAATTACAATTTTCAGTACCTGATTTTCTTACCTAAATAATATGTTTTTCCGTTCCTATTAATGTTAACTCAAAGTACAAAGTTTGAAGTGCCTGTATGTAAAATATTTCAAATAAATATTTATATTTAATGTTTTTTTTTATATTTTCTAAAAATTGCAAATACTTTTAATGCCTTATAATGGTTGAGTAAGAAACCATGAATCATGAACTGTGTATACAAGCAGCTGTGACATTAAATACAAAAACAAGAACAGACGTTTCTTAAAAGCAATACTTGGAGAATATTGTAGTATTCCCATTTCTTCTTTTTTCATATGTCATGCTATTTTATGAAGTGGGAGAGCATGGTCCTCTACAACTTCCTGTCTTTCCATTCTTGGATTAACTTTTCTCTTCTTTCTGTCCCACTTTCTAGACGTTCTTCAGCCATTCATTAACTCAAACTCATGTAGGTTACTAGATTCTGTTCCTTTCAATACGCCCTTTAAGTGTCGAATTCTCTAAACCTTATATCCTCAATTAGTCAGTTAAATGCCATACGTGATACGCGCTTGGGCGATCATGTATCATTCGATTCATAAATGACTAAGTAGAAGATTTTTCCCGCAGTAGGTTGCCGTTTCTTTCTGCAGTAAACTGGTTGCCAAGCATGGGTATAGGACCTAGACTACTCTGCTATTCAAACCAAAGATGGGGGAAAAGAGATGGATTCGTACCTTTCCCAAGAGTATATACGCGTATGTGAATGTAACAAACTCGATTGGAATTCGAACACGCTTTCTGGTTTCTAAATCCGAGCGGATATTCATATCTGAAAGATTTTTAAAAAAAATAGATGACCACTCGACTTCTAGCCTTGCCCAACACGCGAAAGCTCGAAATAAACGTTCCAACTAGTATTCAAAACCACACAAAAATACATTTTAAGCAGTCAATACATAAAGAGATATATATATAGTTGTATATTTAGGAAGCAATCCTCTGTTTAGGCATGTTTCATTAAAACGACAGACAAGGTACTACGATTAAGAAAGCTCTTGTTCGGACACAAGAAAAATTAAATAAAAAGCTTAATATATATATATATATATATATATATATATATATATATATATATATATATATATATATATATATATATATATATATATATATATATATATATATATATATATATACGGTATAACATAAAAATTTCCTTTTGTTACATTAAGCTTTGAACCGTTGTATCTTAGAAATGATTAAAGATATCTTACTAGAATCCTCCAAGGTTTTATAACACTATTGGACTCTATTTTGAACCACAAGAATGGAATTAATCCCCAAGTTTAACAGAAGAAACGTGTATAAAAAAATCAAATTAATTATCTATTATAAAAAATTTAAGACAGCTAACCTTATCCTAAAAAAAAATAACAACACACCAGCTAAGTCAAAATTACAAAGAACGAACATTATCCATGAGTTCAAATGCCCCTTAAGGAACTGTGTTCCTGATCAAACCGGACTCATAAATAATTACATCGGTTACACAACTACATGCTTATCCAGACGTCTTAAGTTACACCTATCTGATCACAGCTCCATTAGAACCCATTTAAACACACACACAGATTTACCCGATTCCATTAGGAACATACTAGTAGAAAACACAAATATATTAACTGCATCCACCTGCAAAAAAAAAAAGATTAAAAATAATGGAAGCTTTAATAATAAAAAAGAAAAAGCCAACTCTTAACAATATAAACTACGAACAAGGCCACAATGCCCTAACCGTATTCGGAAATTAAAACATACACATAATGCACACACTCAATTAAGCTGAAAAATCAAATCATCCTTGATAATGGCTAAAGGTAGAGTTGAAAGCGCTCGGAAATATAAAACATTTGGGCAGTTTATATTGTCCAGAAAAGAAAGCTCTTGTTCGAACAGAAGGAAAATTAAATAAAAAGCTTAACCGTAGTGTCTTGTCTGTCGTTTTAATGGAACATGCATATATATATATATATATATATATATATATATATATATATATATATATATATATATATACATATATATATATATATATATATATATATAGTCGACTCTCCCGTCGAGATTCAACGTATGAGGGTCAAGCAGATCAGTTTCCAGGAAACCGACAGCCCAACATCGGCACATGAGATTTGATTATAGTGGTGAAGGTTTCGTGCAGGACCAGCCACACTTTTTGAAGGGACGAATACAGAGACCTGGTGCACCGAATGCCACAAGGTCCCCAAACGACCCTCCGCAGGTTTTGAATTCAGAGTTGTCCTTCTCCTAGACCAATTGCCATCTAAGGCTATAGAACCCAGTCTGTACTGCTATTTTACCCATAGCTGGAGGGAGAGGAAGAGGATCCATACCTTTCCCAAGGGTATTAGCACGTAAGTGAATGTAATGGATTCGACTGGAATATATATATATATATATATATATATATATATATATATATGATTTTTATATAATTTTTTATTTTTTATATATCAAGAACAATTATGAAAGAAAAGATATATGACAAAGTTGAAAATTTTTTGTGATATGTTTCATTTGTTAGGACTTCATTGGACTGGGATTGTTTACGTTGAACACACATGCGCACGAACGAGAGACGCTTGCAGATTCAAAATTTAGAAACATGTTTTTTCTTTTGTAATCTAGCCAAATTTATTTAAATTCTTTTTTTTTTCTTTCTATCATCTTTGTTTTTTAAATACTCCGCATTGTGATAACAGAAAACCTACCAATAATGGCGGAGACGTTGTAAGAACCCCGACGCAAAATTTATTGTGTTCATGAACTTGCGATTAAAGCAATTTTGAGACATTTTCGTCTTCGTAAATTGTTTTCTCTTTTAATTAGAGTAGAATTTTTTTATGTCAAAATTGTGGTCAGTTTCCTTACGGTGTGTTTACATAATTGTCTAAACCCTGAAACGACATAATTGTCCATCCCATAAAAATGTTTGGTATCTAAAAAATCCACGAAACTAATTGAGTTTCATTTTCCCCAGTTTTTTAGGCAAGATGTTTCGCCATTTTGACACCATTTGTCGTAAGAATCACTGAAAAAAGCCTTTGAGTTATTCCACTGAAAGGACAACAGGTTAAAATCGTTTTGTGTCAGCCTCACTGTCTTCGCAACTGAGCAATGGTGAGAGGAAAAAGATCATACAGGCCTTCTTCAAAGTTCATTCAAGAACCATCAAGAGAACCATGAATAAGTTTTAAAAAAGCTACCAAGGTCAATTAGAAAAGATTCAACTCAATCCATAAGACGTTTGCCATGTGAGAGAGGAGTTTCATCTATGACATGGACAGTGAAAAAAGACTTGAAATAAAATCATACGTGAAAACTGTGAGGCAATTTGTTACCCCAGGACAAAAGTTAGAAGATTAGAAAGGATGAAGATCATGTTGAATAAGTTGGAAAAGGTCCCTGGGATAATATATATATATATATTTGACCTTTATTTCAATCCTTCATGAACTTCCGATCCTTAGCTATGATTAATTAATGATGAACACGTCATTTTTTTTTATGATCGATTCCATCACGATACTTCTGTTAAACTTAGAGCGTAATTATACATTCTTATTGCTCAAATTAGAGTCTAATATTGTTATGAAACAACTTCCAGTAATATATCTTTAATCATTTCTAAGATACAATGGTTCAATGATGAGAGGAAAAAGATCGTTCAGGCCTTCAGTAATGGTACCAACATTCATACTGTGGCTTCCATCTTCACAGTTAATTCAAGAACCATCAAGAGAACGGTGAATAAGTTTTAAAAATGAGGCAACACTAGAGAAGAAAAATGGATCAGGAATTCACAACAGGAAGAGGGATCATCATTTCAACTAAAGACGTCAATTAGAAAAAATCCAACCCAATCCATAAGACGTGAGAGAGGAGTTTCAGCTAACCCTAACACATGACAGTACAAAGAGCAGTGAGAAAAGACTTGAAAATTAGAAGGTTAGAGAGGGCGAAGATCATCTTGAATAAGTTGAAAAATGATCCTGGAATAATATATATAT